AATCAATGTCCCGCAAAGACGCTATAATACCTGCTTCCTACGAGCGGTGCGATCGTCGGTCCGAATTTCGAGTCGAGGAATCTAATCCCTTAATTCGGGAATGGATCATGTGCGATCTCTGAAAAGGCATAGTTAAATGACTACGATATGAAGTTTTAAGATATTAAATTTAAAGAATGAGAGAGATATAAAATTATTACTATTGTTTATTACTAACCATTATCAATTTATTATTAACGGATTACAAATTTAATACAATATGTGCGGGAATGCACTGCGCGGAAAGATTCGAGTGAGAGAACGGCACACGGTTGATATGATACACGACAGTAAAGAGAACTCCGTTTCTTTGTAATTTAACAAAAGAATTTTCTTTTGCTCAGTTACATTCAGAAAATATAATTAATTAAATATTAGATTAACAGAATATTAAATGCGGTCACCTTTTCCAAATTGTATTTGGAATCGCGGTGATGGAAAATCTCGGCGATTTTCTCGGCACTTCTCGAAAAGATTCGTTTTATAGCGGTTTTCACTAAGCGGTTATTACGGTTTTACGAAGCGATATAGTAGCGAGACTATGACTCTAAGAACTCTAAGATGTCTAAGGAGGAGGAACGGCGAGATCGAAGCATTTATTGCTTTCGGCCTGGGCTTTCTTCTTGGGAGAAATCCAATAAAATTTTGCCACAATTTTGCGTAATTATTACGTGGCATTGGTTGTACAAAATTGATTGGCGCTTTGGATTCTTTTCTAACGACGTTCAACGTAACAGTCATGCGCGACAGAAAATCCGTACGTGGGATTGGTGACAGCGTGTGACGTATTCGTCGGAGCGCGGCGCTCGCGTGCGCGAATTGAATTGTTCTAGAACTTTCGATTGTCCGTTGCCGGTGCCTGTTTGCGTATACTGAATTGTTTTGAAAAGACTAAAGAACGACGAATCCCTGACTTTGACGAGGATTAAGGTCGGGCTCGAGATGAAATCACGAGCTCACCTTATGCGTGCGTTCAATAATAATTACTGTCGGTCGATCAAAAGAGTTCTTACTTTTTT